TTGTGAGGCTCCGATTATTGAGATGGTTGATCTTCCGAACTCGCTGGCTCTTCCATTGACATGTGAATGCTTCGTCACAGTTGGCATTCTCTGTCTCACTGGTGTATAATATCGTGTCACTATCATCTGATTCATCTTGTACGTCTATTATCTCTGGAATTTCAACTGCAGAACTTCTTAGGTCATTATTAAGTAACTCGAGATCAATTTCAGACATTTTCTGTAATTTCTTTCTACACGAATCACAGATTTTGCTTCCATCTAACCTCAGAATTTTACTGATCAGGGTGGCAGAGACTGGACGTGCACCAGTTTTCCTGTGATCAATCACTTTCAGTGGGTTAATACACTGGCTTTGAAAAGTTTTCATCGTACGGGTCGAACAAAATTCACTGGAAAATGGAATTATTATTTCACGCACCGTGAATATTTCACTGAACGTAAAATTGCAGTATCAATTGACTCATCGACTTTTTCCTGACCAATCGATTATAATTTTTTTAGGTTATGTACGGAATGAAATTTCTTGATTACATTGCATGAAAACTCAATCGCATGACACATATTTGAGGAAAATTATTTCATGATTGAATAGCACTGTGGGGGAGTGGTCAATGTACTAATCATTGGATCACAAGAGGCGCGTCACTGGAGACGGGGGTTCGAATGCCGACGTACAGCCATCATTTTTTCTCTTCAGAAAGTTAGATAAATGAATTACTATGAATACTCTCATCTCTCAAGAGTACTTGAATATCGCATTTTCAAAACTTTCAATTGGGATGATTTTGTTTTTTTATGTCTTCTAATATGAGAAACAATCGGTCTATTGCATTCATCTTGGAACAAACCGATCTTATCATAAATAGTGAAAAATTGGGGTTTTATGTCACCACATCTAGCCCTACCCATTGCCTCATTTTCTAGGAATTCAGCTAGTGCGTTGATGGTTTTGATATCAATATTTTTCAATTTATTATAATAATTTCTCGCCAGACGAAGAATAAAGTTGTCGATTCGAGGGATATTAGCTTTGTCATATAGATTTTTGTTACTGACCTGATGGTAGACATTATTGTCGGCCGATCTGTACATAAACAGACAGGTCCTCAGACAATTCCTTTCAAAAACTCTGAGACGTTCCATTTGGTGGGCGCGCATGTTCCAGAGAATTTCTGAAGCATATATTAATAAAGGCCTTATAAGTAACATATAACAGACTACTCCAGCTCTTATTTATATGCTTATTGTGGAACAGAAAGCCAAGAGATTTGAAACGTTTTCTCGCTTTTTCTATCTGGATATCTGCATGATTTAAGCACCTCATGAGATAGTCGATGAAGTACCCCAAGAGACTTCATAATTTCGTTGTTCGGGATTATTGTTTCCTCATTATTATCTAGATTTCTAATGTTTATAATAAGTTCTTTGATGCTAGCTTTTTTTTCTAGAATACTGATCGACTGTATTTCGAAACAACATTGTTTCGCTTTTAGAGGGATTGACTTTAAGGCTCCATCTGGAATACTTCTCATTCGCTTTATTAACAATGATATTTACTTTATCAGCTATTTCCCTTCCATTATTTCCAGCCACATAAATGATCCTATCATCTGCACATGTAAGTGAATAGGTATTATTATTACTATTGAGCTCAAAAGAGTCTATCATGTGTCTGGGCACTCATTCTACTGAGACACTAGTGTGATGTATCACCTCAATCCTATTGCTTAATCTCCCTTCCATTAAAAGCGCAATATCGAAGTGTTACATATTTATCCTTATATATTTATCCTTATATATCCATATATATCCTTTTCTGAACAGATTTATACCTGTAGTATTGGAATTTCTATGATTCAATTCAATCAAAAAATTATTCAAACATTTAGCAAAAGATGAACTTTGTAAAAAATTTATTTTATGGTGCCGACAAAAGTTATGTTTCGAAAAGATTCGTAGTTTTTTTGTTGCCGATTTATAAATCGACGATGTTAATTAGACAATGAAATAAGGTAACGTGTGTAGAAAACATAGTAGTCAGGGTAAAATGTCAAAAACCTGTGAAGAAAATTATTGTACAGCAGACTCTTGTTATAGTCGCATTTTCCGTCACTTGAGCGCTGCTCCAACTCTATCATTGACGGGGCCCTAAAAGTGAACACTCTGGCGTTTGCAGCAAGGATTTCTTCGAGGATGGCCGCGAGCATGTGGTGAGGTTGGGGAAATATAGTCCAATCCTCCAAATTCGTTTCCGTTATTCCTTCTTGCGTGTGACCACAACGTAAGTTCACACTGGTTAAAATTGAATGTCTCCTGATGGATCTGGCGTTAACTTTCAACTGCAATCCTTGCCTCTGCGTTCATGAATCGTATAACATACCAGGCGGTGTCGCCTAAATGATATCGTGCGAAATTCTACAAAATGGATGCATATAATGTCTCCACCATAAGGTTAAAAACATCAAATTGACGATTCATAAGAATTTTGTTTTACATTTATAATGTCCAAAATTTTGTAGTAGGAATTTAAGACTAGAATAAATTTTATGTAAGATTATAATTATAAGTTATATTATAATTTCAGGCAATTAAGAACCAAATCCACAATTGTAAATTAAACTGAGTGCATTTCATCACCTGGACTCAATTAAAAATTCCAAAGACACCAGAAGTGAGTTCAAAAGTGATGGAATGGCACACTTAGCATGCCCCAATTACCCAATACTCAGATTCACACGCGAAGGAACGATTGAAAACCGATTAATTGAAGCCCCAAAACCCGAATGAACTACTTCCCCATAAAAATAAAAAAAGTGGGAAAAGTCATACGACATTTTCCACCAATTAAAAATGGACTCGTTGGAGCCCATGTGACAAGTGACCCCAAAATTCATATAAAAATGTCAGAAAAACCAAAATTAAGCAGTCTTGAAGCAGCGACGGAGCAGTAACAATTCTGGTGGAAATAGTTCATTTAATCGGTCCGGTTTTTCAATCCTTCCTTCGATTACGCGGGATAGTACTTAAGTAATAGTAAGTTACGAACAATCGAAATTATCCGGGAATAAAATTTCTTTAATCGAGAGTGGTGACTTTTATTACAAATAAGGAATTCGTTTATTGTGACGCGTTGTAGACAGTCTCAACTAAACTCTTAAAATCTTCAAATTCAACTACCAAAAATTCATTAAAATATCAACGAGTAGAAGCAAGTGTTTCCGTGGAAGTATCCATAATAGCCTTTAGCGCGACTAATTGCTGATGAGGAAATTACGGATTTACCCAGGGATCTACAAACACATCGAATAATTTATAAATAACAGACCGAATTGTGAGTAACAAAAATGTGTAAACCTAAATTTGAATCCTTCAGATCATTCCAGGGATAGGAATTTTAGCTACATAGATTTCTGTAAAATCACACTTATGTTTTTGTAAACCGAATAGTTATACAAAATATATTTAAATCCAAACTTGACTCCAGTACAACTCCAAATTTCTTGATTAGAAATTCGTCTCAACTCAAGCCCTATCCCTAAATCAAGCCCTTTTCCCCCCATATTTTAAAAAAAGGTAAGAGTATAAAACTTTGCGTCGTCCAATAATTATCAAATTCAATAATTTTAGCTTTGATTTTAATGTGACAATTAAAACATGTCCATTTGACGCTAAAATCCTTCTCTGGACATAACACATTAATTCAGGTAAATTAATGAACCCCTTCTTTTTTTGAAATATGTAATGAATGTTCCTATACTTATTGATAATAACTGACCAAAGGCTCAAAATCCTGAATGGAAATTCCCGTCAGGTCCAGAACAGGATTTGATCAGGTCTGCCCTGACGTTGGATCAGGCCTGAAGGATCCGAACCTGATCAAGCCCCATCGATCCGGACCGGAGGAACTCGTCCAGTTTTATTACTAATAATCGTTAATAAAAATGATAATTGAATTTTCCAAAATTATTTTTACGATCGTTTATGACCTTATTGGTAACCCTGTAGAGTATTTATAGTAGAAAAGGCGGATTTTGTTATCGCAAACTATTCTGCCCATAACTGGTGTCGAACCCGGAATCCTACGATTACTAAACCCATGTCCTAACTAGACTACTGCACTAATATTGCGTCATGAATCTCGTATTCTCAATAAAACATTCGTTTGTATGCATCATCTTCAAATATCATTCCTCCACTGTTGCCGAAAAATAAACAATTTCTAGATAGACTTCTTCAAGACGCCTAATTCTTGCTGCGTTTGACCTTCAAAACGTCTGATCCTATGTAAAAGCGGTTGAGACCGTGGATGACAGCTCGGATTGAGATCAGAGTGATCAAATCCCATAATGATAGTGTTTAGTTTAGGATGTTCTGCTCAAATTGACAACAGGATAATCAAATTTGAATCTAATCAGATCATCTCAAGACACTATGTTCAAATTGATATCAGGGTGGCCAAATCGGAATGTGATCAAAGTGATTTCATGCTGTCGGACCGAAGAAATACAGAATAAGTTTTCATCAGCTGATTCAACTGATCAGTCGAACCTGACTACAGACAGATCCATTTCTGATCCAACTTCAAGTGTCCCGAACGGAAATTCCACTGGAGAGACAGGAACAGAAACATAAAATACTAAGGTCGCATGGGCGCGCTGCCGGGACATGGCCGCACTTCATGGTAGTAATCTATCTTTTCAGAAGATGCTGAGTCGGTCCACTTATATTACAGAGACTTTAGCATAGAAACGAATCGGATGTTAGAATACCAAAATCTTAAATCAACACATCAACGTTAGCAGCCTCAGTTGGCAGAGGAATTATTTATGATAATTCTATCGTTATGAAATTATCAATTTTCTAGAGTACGTTCGGTGGTGTTAGGACAGAATCCGCTTGCCCAAAGCTCTTTCGGCTATAATTACCTATAATTATTAAGTAATAAATGAATCATAACAAAAACATTTTCTTTTTTTTTTATCTTTCTGTTTGAACAGACAACGTCGATACAAAGGACCCAGTTATGAAGATCATTGAGACGAAAAAAAGGACAGCGGTATGGTTTGTAAGTAACTGTGACACAGACAGTGTCCGAGAGAAATATGTGAAAGAACTCTCGAAGCATGTGGATGTCGATGTTTACGGTCGATGTGGCAGCGAGACTAAATGTCCGAAGGGTGAGGACTGCTTTCGGAAGCTCGTGGAGCCAAACTACTTCTTCTATTTATCCTTCGAGAACAGCCTCTGTCAGGATTACGTCACTGAGAAACTCTCCAATGCTCTCAAGTAATTATTATTATTGTGCTGAACGATATTTTCAGGCCGAAGGGACACAGGGGGGAAAGTTTTTAAATGGCATGAGTTTAAATAGATCGTCAGTGCGTGTCCTGTTTGTCGGTTTTTGTTCCACCCGCCATATAATTATGATTATTTGATGATATCACCAAATTTTTTGGAGAATAAGTAAGGTTAAGATAAGGAGCTTCTTATCTTATTTGATCGTGATAATTCATAAATTTCCGAATTTCTAATGGCCTTGTAGTGAACGCGATTCCGCCATAATAACATTCATTATATAAAATGAATGATGGAAAACTGGTGTTATAAGGAGACCGGCACAATCTTATCCCGTTTTCACAATAAAAAAATTTCAACTTTTTCTTTTCACAGATACTACGTCATTCCAGTAGTGTACGGTGGTGCAAACTACAACTCATCAGCTCCTTCAAATTCCTATATTAACACACTAGACTTTCATTCTCCCAAGCAACTAGCACAATTTTTGATAAGACTGACAAAAAATTTAGCCGAATACGCTAAGTACTTCAAATGGAAGAAATTTTATGAGATCATTCCTTCCAACCAAGTAACAATTTGTCATCTCTGTAAATACCTCCATGAAACAATGGAAAATAAAGTATACGATTCAATGTCAGATTGGTATTTAAAGGGAAAATGTCCGTTGCAAGATAAATTGAAAAATTATCCATACATAACGAAATTAGCGACTATGTTCGACAATGATTGAAGTCTTCCATCTGTTTTTTCCCTATTGATTGAAATCTGATACATGTCACTGGTAGTTTTGCATCTATTTTTTCTATTAGTCTGTCAGATTGACGGGACATTTAAGGATGCTTTTTTCAATTTGTTCTATTGTAAAGGTACTTTGATGGTAAATTTGAAATCCAGTATTTGCAATAAAATTCGTAAAAAGAATGAAAATACCATGCTTATATTTACCCTTTTATTCCATCTTAAATACCGAAAAAAAGTTTTGTGAATGAATTCGCTGGATGGATTCGATATGAGTGGAACTGAATTATGCCGAAAATTGATTTATTTTATGTCGTGACTGGCAGCCTGAATGGAATCTCACTTAAAACTATGCAAACCGGTATAGTGACTTGATTTTGATCAAGTTCAGCTTAATTTAAGTTGATCCTACGATTGAATTCAATTCCACTTGGATGAACTATCCATTTTGAATCGAATCGGGGATCAATTTGACTTACAAGGAACACTACGCAGGTGTCCCCCTCCGATTTCGATGAAACTTAAATATGTTATAGGGGACCCAAAACTAAGGGACACGTATTTTTTTTAGCTGCCCATATTGGGTTTTAGGGGGTGAAAGTGCTTTCTGAAGTTGACCACCTGTCGGGGTCATTTTTCGATTGCACACATAAAGCTTTTTGAACAACTCGTTCGCAGTGTATCATGAAGGTCACAAGGAATGATGAAAATGCGAATTAGAACCGTCTCCGGGGGGTGAAATATGGAGGGTAAACTACCCTTGTGAAAATTCATTTTTCTCATAGAAAAAAAACTTTTGATGGAAATCCCATGGGATAAATTCCATTTGAAAAAGTAGAATACCTGTTTTGATTTTTTTTAAATCGAAATTTAAAACTTAAAAAAATTGAATTTTCGTGAATTGCGAAATTTCTAACTTTTTTCTCTACAAAACGAAGCTTACGGCTAATGATGAGGAAAACCATTGGGACAGGATCCAGGAGTGGTGTCGGAGAGGTTAACTACCCTTGGGAGGGGGGGGGGGATTTTTTTTAATAAGGGGGAAAAATATCGATGAGAATTTTACGAAACACATTTCGTTCGAAAGCATGAGACAATTTAAAGCACATATTTAGGATTTTTTCCGCAAATTAGAATTTTAAGGTAAGAAACATCGATTCTTTGAAAAATTATGGGTTTTAAATTGTTTGTTATAATAGACTGATCTTACACGGAATGATAAGTGAAACAATTGAAATAGTCTTCGGGAGTGAAACTTGAGGGTTGAACAATCCTCATGGTATTTTATCGAATCGATCGGACCAACCTCATTCATTTTCAAATTAAATCAGTAACGACCATGAATCTAAAAAATTTCACCGAAAGCCAGAGTAGAGATTCCATTAAATGGCTTCCATTTCCAATTTGAAAAAATGAGTTATGATTAAATATTTTGAGGAATTCAAATTTTCATCTGTATATGAACGTGGATGGGTGGTACAAAGAAGAGCCGATGATTTTGTATAGTAAATAATGGATCGATGATAAAATGTATTTCGGTTGCTCTTATCGCTTCGATGTGATATCGTTTTCAATGAGACGTGAATGGCGACATATGACAATACCATTCTGTTTGATAATGCAGAACCACAACTAAAGAATATTCGCGAGTTGTAAACAATTGATGCAAATGGCTGATTTGTTATCTGAGGATGAAATTACTCTGATCAATATAACTTATACGATATCAATGTTTTTCATTTCCATCCCTTTTGAGAATTACAATCAGTCTATGAACATACATGTGAGTGTTAAATACAGGGTGAGTAAACATACAGGTGAGTGTCGTGATCTATACTTGTTCTACCATGAAAGTTAATCCGATCAACGTTATCCGACTTCTGATGGCAACATTTGAAGTTCTCAATCTTGCTGAAACACCCGTGAACAACGAGGAACGTGAATTAGCAGACACGTTCGAAAGGATATTGATTCAATCAATGGAGGAATATAATGGAGTTGAAATGATCGAAGAAACATCCCTGGATTTTCAAGAGCCTTATAAAGATATCGAAATGATAGCGGTCGAGGATAAAGAATTTCAACCACATACAGAAGAATCACCTGACAGTTGTTCGGAGGATGAGGAACCTGTAGATTTCGAATATAAAAAGAATGCCGTTGACTTCTGGAGAAGTGGAAAAAAGAAGAAGAATCTCTCTATAGAAACTGTTTCCCATCGATTCAGGAAGGTGAAATCGCGTAGACAGTTACGACGCTGGGCGAATCAAATCAATAAAGGAGGGACATACATGGAGAAGTTGAAACGCATTTCGGAGTACACATTAAAGAATATGAAGAATGCTATCGATGCAGGTTTGATCGTCCACGATACTGACCTCCGAAGGTGGGCCCTGCAAGCCCGGAAGGAAATCGGCTTCGAAGACGTTCGTTTTACAGCTTTGTCCAGGTGGTGGCATTATTTCAAAGGAGCACACCGCATAACATCCCGGAAGATTAACAAATTCATCACCAGAAAAACATTAGAGACTCGGGAAGAGTTACAAAAAGAAGCGAACGAATTCCTTCTAAAAGTTCGGTCTTATTGGGATATGTATGGCCCAGAAAACATTTATAATACTGATCAAAGTGGTTTCCAATTGGAAATTCATTCAGGGCGAACGTTAGCTGAAGAAGGTACTAAACAAGTAGCGTGCGTCGTACAATCGATAACTTCAACAACACATAGTTATACAATACAACCTCTGATTTCTGCTGATGGAAAATTACTTTCACCTCTCTTCCTGGTTTTGAATGAACCTTCTGGAACTTTCGGTCCAATAGTGGAGCAAAATCTCTTCAAACCTGCGAATGTGTTCATCACCGCTTCAAAATCGGGAAAACTCACTTCACGTATGACAATATTTAAGACCTAACAAACATGATATGTTCTATACAATAATTAGGATTATCATCTAGTACTTGATTTTTCAGAGCATTTCAAAACCTGGTTGAAGGAAGTCTTTTTCCCAAACGTGGGTCCTAGAAGTCTACTGTTAATCGATTCCTGGAGCGGACACTGTCCTCAAGTCGTGAAAGAAATTACTCCTCCGGATAAAGAATTATTAACTATGTTGATACCAAAGGGGACTACTGGAAAAATTCATCCCTTGACGTATATGGTTTTAGGATATGGAAGAATTATGTTCGTCATTTTTCGAATAATGTCGTCCTAATGGACTATGATATTAATTTACATTTGCGGAACAATATCATAAAGTTACAGTCTTTAGTCCATAATCAATTATCATCACCAAGGTATCAAAATTTATTTCGTTATGCTTGGTTTCAGAGTGGTTACATTTCTAAAAAACCAGATGAATTCGAAAATCCTGTCGATTTTGCATTCGGGCAATCATCTCATCCGCACGGTGATATTGAAGGCTGTTCCAATATTGCAGTAGTCAGATGCTCATGGTGCAAAAAATCACTTTGTTTGCTGCATTTTTTTGAAGAATATCATTTTTGTACGCATTACGTCCCCTAATACTATCTATACTGTAGATTGATCCCAACAGAAAGTATGCTGATTGAGAACATAATACTAGAAGGAATAAATGGTCTGAGCTTCTATAATAATATCAATGTATATTCTGAATTCCATCATTTGGGGATTACTACCATCATTGTTTCCTTTCCATATCGGATCTTCATTCAATCCTTACCATTTAGTTCGGACTATAGTACTGTGATATAATGTAATGTCCAAAAAATTTTATACTAGAAATTTAAGACTAGAATAAATTTTATATAGGATCATAACTATAAGCTACATGTAATTAAGAACCAAACCCACAATTGTAAGTCAAATTGAATACATTTCAGCACTTGAACTCGATTAAAAATTCCAAAGACATTGGAATCGAGTTCAAAAGTGATGAAATGGCGCACTCAGCACGCCCCAATTACCCAATACT